GGTTTCTGCTGGGCCAGGCCCTGAGGGGAAGATCGGAGTGGGCGAGGGTAAGGGGAGCGAGGGCGAGCATGGAAGGGCGTGGAGGAGAGGCGGGTGGGACGTGGCCAGGTCCCCTTGGCCTCTGTCAGCCTCCGGATACTTCCTCGGCGTGACCTGAGGGGCCACATGAGGGGCCAGTTTGGTCTTCTCACTGTTAGGGCTGGCGTGTCAAGGACAGGTGATGGCGGGGAGGGCCAGGCGGAGACCCAGTCGGGAGACGACCATGGTGATTCGGGGAGACAGGCTGGGGCTGGGTACCCCGGCTCCGGCTCGGCCATGGCCCTGCCTGCACGGGGACGAGGCGTCCGGGACAGGGCGTCAGGCTGCTGGCCGCTGGGGAAGCACCTGTCTCACCGCAGTCGGCAGCTCGAACGTGAGTCCTCCGGGCGCAGGGAGTGGCATAGTCACCCCATGACGGCTCGGCTGCCGTGGCTCAGGCTTTGCTTTTGCACAGGGAGAAGCGGCGCCGTGGACGGGTTTGATGGGACTCATTGAACAGGGAGGCTGGAGAAAAGGCAGAAGCTGCCTCTGTGGGAGGAGGGCACGGAGGGACCAGGTCCGAGGTTGGGGAGGGCGTCCCGTTTCCCGTCAGTCCCGCTTCCCGTCAGTCCCGCTTCCCAAGGGACCAGGTCCACACCGAGCACTGTGACCACTAGCAAACCACCAGCTTCCGGGAGAGCGATAGACCACCCGCAAATGCAGGGTCTAGTTCCTCGCCAGCTGAGAGCTCTGGGCGACGTCTCCAAAACCCCACTGTGAGTGATGTGCGTCCCTGCTCAGCCTGAACTTGTGGGTGAACAGACCCGCACACACAGGTGCGCAGACCCGCACACAGGTGGGCAGACCTGCATGCACAGGTGGGCAGACCCGCACGCACAGGCGGGCAGACACACACACAGGCGGGCAGACACACACACACACAGGCGGGCAGACCCGCACACACAGGTGGGCAGATATGCACATACAGGTGGGCAGATATGCACATACAGGTGGGCAGACCCTCAGTGCACGTGTGTTGTGCACATACCGTGTATTCCGCTCTGGGCCCCACACGGAGGTGGTCACGAAAAGCCGTGTTGTCCCTGGCTAGATTGGCGTGTGCCGTGTGGCTGCCTTTTACAGGGCTTGCCTCTAAGCTAGGGTGGCAGCAGTCGAGGGATAACTGGCTAACGAAGTCGAGGGATAGGCCATGCACACCCCAATTTTGCAATTTAATTTTAAAAGCTATCGGGCCCTCTGACCTGAGGGTCGGAGTCAAAGGCACTGCGCTGGCTGTCTGGCCGCGGGTCTGTGCCACTTGGGCCTGGGAAGTACAGCGAGGCCCCTGCGACGTCGTCGGCCTGAGTCGGGCAGCGTGTGTGGCCGCGGCGAAGCCCCTGTGCAGCCGGCGCCTGGGCCCCGGGTTCTGGGCCGATAGTCGGATGCCGTGCTCGCTGTCTGCTCTGCACTCGCACTCGCATTGCCACGAGAGCCACTCACTAACGAGGTGGGTGTCGCAGCTGCGCCTGCCTTTGCGAGTAAAGCTTTGCCGGGACACGGCCAGGCCCAGTGGCTTGCATTCTGCAGGCGCCGCTGTTGCACACGGCACAGGGCTGACAGGGTCCGGCCGGCTCAGGACTTGTCAGCGGGGCTTTCCTGGAGAGTGTCTGCGGGGAGCCGGGTCGCATTGCCAGGCGCGTGCTTCCGCTGGCCTGACTGTGGGGCAGACGTTCCGCTCTTGCCCCCTTCGACTGCCGTGACACTGACACACTGGCACCCTCTCCCC